AATTCAACGTACCTACAAATTTGAGAGTATTTTCCACACAATATCGTAATCTGTATTAAAACAAAGCTAACACACATTTTTCCCAAGCAAGATTCAGTTAGAGAACAACCTCTTCTTACAGAGTTTCACAAAAATTCACAGACTAATTCTCATTAATCACCTGCGCCAGACTCTTTTATACACACAAAATGAATTATACCTACAACCACGGGTATAAAACAGAGTACATTTCAAAGGTTTATTTTTCATAAGCATTTTGAACATGCCGAATTTCAATCAAGGGTAGGTAAGCGGTGTATTTTTAAAATATTCGGACATAGAAGACTTAAAAAATGATCCGTGAATTTTTCAATAGCTATTTAGCATTTAACATGCAGTTTGAAATAAAGTGTCAAGTTCATGACACTCTCCCCGTCATAACACCTCAAGTTCGCAGTGACTTGACGTCATTTTCTATGATGACGTCATATTTTGGTAGTTCAGAGATGCGAAGGCACAGAGTGCACTGTGATATTCTACGGGAAGCTTTAACTTACCTGCGTTGTCTGTTCATCAAAGACCAAGAGAGGCCACGCAAGTTCCTATGAAACTGAACTAATTTAAACGCATAAGGGCTATACTTATACAGAAAAGGTTAAAACTTATTTTCTAATGCAAACTTGGTACCCGCGACAAGTGATAGCCAGTACACTATGACGTCATATTATGACGTCATTGCTCTCTACTACACAAATTTATAAAGAACATCAACAAAAAAGCTTCGGCGCAAGGGCATACCCTATTTATTTTTACAGAAACAGGGTCTAATTAGAAGCAAAATATTCCAAGGATTTGTGATATTGCTGCACAAATGTCGACAGATCAATTGTTTAGTTACTATTTGTAAAGTTTTGAGTTGAAACGGGGTAAAAATTCACAGTCCAGCGTAAGTTTCCTCAAATTTTTATCAAACGAGAAAGTGCATAGGATTTGTCCAGCATTTTTATTAATCTTTAGATTGATTGATTGATTGTTTAACGCCGAGTCGGCAATATTTCAGCCATGTTTCGGCGGATAACTTTTTTAAATACTCGGTTTATGAAAGGTTTTTGGTTTCTCTGGCGGCCCCCAGTGAGCCTACTCTTTTTCGAAATCCAGAGAAACGATCTTTTACGTGCCAAGGGGGTTGTAATCCTTGACACGGGGCACCATTTAATGTCCCGTCCGACGGACTTAAAATTTAAAAATATGTAAACTGTTAAAAATATGTAAACTGTTAAAAATTAAATTGATCTATGAACATGTATTTCTCATCAAAATTGTTTTCTTTATTTTATTCTAAATTTTACTGTAATAATCAGTTTCTTGTAGATATTCTAAAATTTTATAAACATTAACATTTGTAAAAAGTTCATACATCGTTCTCACATTACCAAAAAGTCTACTTCGAACAGGCGTAAAATCGGAACATTCTAAAAGCATGTGGTTTATAGTTATCGGACAGTCACAGGATATGCATTCTGGCTGAGACTTCCGATTCAATAAGTATTCATGTGTAATTTTTGAATGACCAATACGTATTCTTGAAATAATTACTTCGTCTTGACGTTTCAAACCGAAGTCAGATGATCTGTTAACTTTTTTTCAATAGCATAAAGCTTAATTTCATCACAAAAATCCCAATAAATTTGCTAAAGAGAATCAACATAAATTTTAACTAGATATTTCAAATCGGTGTAAGGAATTTTGAATAAAGTATTCATGTTGAAGTGCAGTTTTTGCAGCATTGTCGGCCTTAGTGTTTCCAGGGATGCCGATATGACTCGGAATCCAACAGTAGTTAACTGTTTTACCTTGTTGCCCGAAATGATGATATTGAATTAATATATCTAAAATGTAAGGTTGATCAATGTTCTTATTTTATATAGATTGTAAGCAAGAGAGCGAGTCCGAAAATATTGTAAATATGTTTTCACTAGAAGATTTGATATATTCATATGCAAGTTGAATGGCTTTTGCTTCTGCTGTAAAAATTGTTGCTTCATTTGGAAGCCGTGTACAGAAAACACTGCCTTCCATCACTGCAGCTGATGCAACTCTATTTTTATCCTTTGAACCATCCGTATAAATCTCGACTGTAGAACCCTTAGAATGTTTAATTTCGGCAAATTTTTGTTCAAAAACAAGAGAATTCGTTTCTGATTTCTTAAATTCAGTTAAAGATAAATCTACAATTGGATTTATTAATTTCCATGGCGGTATTTTGGAGAAAGTAGTAGGCTTTATTATATCCAAAGGTAAATCGGAATCTCTGATGTGTTTTTTAGATCTTAGACCAAGGGGTTTTACACATGATTTTCTTTTATGATATAAGTCTTCGCACTGCGGATGAAAAACACAATTATAAGCAGGATTATCAATATTTGCTTTTAATTTCATAATATATTGTAAGGTAAGTTTAATTCTTCTTAGGTCGAGAGGCGGTTCGTTTGCCTCAACATAAAAACTGTTCATAGGAGAAGTTCGAAAAGCTCCTAAGCACAGTCGAAGGCCTTGATGATGTATTGCATCAAGAGCTTTTGTGTATGAAGTTCTTGCAGGGCCATATACAATACAGCCATAATCTAACTTGGATCTTACTAAAGAGCGATAGAGTTTTAAAAGAGTATTTTTATCCGCCCCCCATTTTGTATTTGAAATAACTTTGATAACATCAAATGCCTTTTTACATTTTTCTTTTAACATTTTTATATGCGATACAAAAGAGAGTTTACTATCAAAAATTATACCTAAAAATTTTATCTCTTTAACTACTTTTATAGGATTTCCATCTAGCAGCAAACTTGGTTCGTCATGAGCTTTCCGTTTAGAGCAAAAATGTACACAAGCGGTTTTACTTTTTGAGAACTTAAATCCATTTACATCAGCCCAATTTTGAATCTTATTTAGACAAAACTGTAATTTTCGCTCAATATAATTCATATTTTTGGATTTATAACAAAGAACAAAATCATCGACATATAAACTTCCATGCATATCATTTTTAAGCACTTCTGCTAAGCTGTTAATTTTTATACTAAATAAAGTTACTGATAAAATACTACCTGGGGGCACACCCATTTCCTGTTCAAAACTTTCCGAATAAGTAGACCCCAAGCGTACTTTAAAATGTCTATCATTCAAGAAATTCTTGATAAAAATGGGCAAATGTCCTCTAAGGCCCATATTGTTAAAATCTTCCAAAATGCCATGTCTCCATGTAGTATCGTATGCTTTTTCTAAATCAAAAAATACAGATACAACATGCTCTTTTTTGATAAAGGCATCTCGAATATAGGTTTCCAGTCGTACCAACTGGTCAATAGTACTTTGGTTTTTTCTAAAACCGCATTGTATATTAGATAAAATATTATTGGTTTCAAGAAACCATACAAGGCGTTCATTAATCATCTTTTCCATGGTTTTACATAAGCAGCTTGTTAAAGCAATTGGTCGGTAATTATTAGGATCTGTATGGTCCTTTCCAGGTTTTGGAATAGGAATAATTGTAGCTTGGGCCCAGGAAGGTGGAAAATGACCTCGTTCCCAAATTGTATTAAAAATTTGGAGAAGACATTCTTTACTGTTTATAGGAAGGTGTTTAATTATTTGATAATGGATTTGGTCCGGTCCTACAGCTGTATCATGAGACTTTTCTAAAGATTTTTGAAGTTCGTCAATAGTAAATGGATGATTATAGCATTCATTGTTTTCAGATGTAAAATCTAACGTTTTCTTTTCTTGTGAAATTTTATATTTACTAAATTTTGGGCTCACATTATTTGTGGAGGAATTTTTAGATATCGTATTAGCTATTTCATTTGATATTTGTTTTTTATCCGTAATAATTTGACTTCCAACATTAAGATGTTGATATCTTTCAGGACCTTTTCCTTTAATTTTTCTTATTGCGTTCCAAACCTTATTGAAAGGAGTATGCGAATTAAGGTTGGAAACGAAGTTTTTCCAAGATTTTCGTTTATTAAAATTTATAGTTCTCCGAGCTTTTGCTCTAAATATACGGAAATTGCTTAAATTTGGTGATGTTGGTAATCTATTAAACTGTCTTTCTGCTTTTTTGCGAGCTTTTATAGCATTATTACATTCTTCTGTAAACCATGGTTTTTTAATTCTAGTAGAATTTGTCGAGGTTTTAGGTATGCATTCATTTGCAGTATGTAATAGAATTTCAGTAAATTTTTGAATTGGATCAGGATTGTTTTCGAACTTTTCAGCCGAAATATTTTGTAAGCATAAGCTTTCAAATTGCTTCCAATCGGCCTTGTTTAGTTTCCAGTTTGGAGTAGAACTATTTTCCTCGGGTTTATTTACTTTAATTATAATTGGGAAATGATCACTCCCACATAAATCGTCATGTACTGACCAACTGAAATCCAAGAGTAAAGAAGGATCTACTAAAGTAATATCTATTGAAGAATATGAACCATTGCCCGGATGCAGGTAAGTACTAGAGCCGTCGTTAAGTATACAAAGATTATGATGTGATATTGCATCTTAAAGTTTTTTTTCCCCTTTTTCTGTTATTTTGTCGCTACCCCATAATGGATTATGGGAATTAAAGTCACCCATAATCATAAATGGAGCAGGGAGTTGTTGTATTAATTTTGTAATTTCTAAAGTTTGTAAATTATAGTTTGGAGGTACATATACAGAACAAAGTGTAATTGTTTTTTCAAGAGAAAGACGTATAGCTACTGCTTGTAGATTAGTTTTCAAAGCTACTTGGCTGTGAATGTATTTATTGTTAATTGCTATTGAAGTACCACCAGATGCTCTCTCAGTTTGAGCATAGTGGTTATACATACTATAGTTTTTAATATTAATTTTATCTGTTTCTTTTAAATGTGTTTCTTGTAAACATATAGCTACCGGGCAATGGTCCTGAATAAGTAAAGATAATTCGTTAAAGTTGACTTTAAAACCTCGACAATTCCATTGTATAAACATAGGATGATTCATTTTTATTTATTATGAGAAATGGGGGATATCCTCCCTTTATTTTTCTTGGGTGACGTACTTCGAACTTGCGAGGAGGAATGGCAGGGTGTAATGTCCATCTCCTCGAAGACCCCAAATTTATTGTGGAGAGTGACGGCATCTCGTGCCCCTTTGGGCAAATGATCACTCGACTGCTTGGGGATGTTTTTTGAGGGAGACTTGTTTTGTCTCCCTGTTGGTGTTGATTTATTCGCAGCCGATGGCTGTGGTGTAGCCACAGCTACGGTTTTTGGTGCAGCCGCAACTGCAGGACCTGCAGAAGCAGGTATTGAAGTGGGTTTACCTTTGTCATTAGATGACAAATTTATTTTACATGATGAGGCCTGCTGAAATAAGTCTTTTTCAGAGACCTGTGTAGACATGTCCTTCAAAGAGGACGATTTTACAACAGTTGCATATGTTGTCAAATTTGGTTTCGGGACACTGTACATATTTACCAATTTTTTGGCTTCTGAGTAAGGTATCCTTTTTTCAACCTTTACCTTTTGTATCTCTTTCTCTTTTTTCCAAATTGGACAATGTTTAGAGGAAGCCATGTGCCCGCCCTTACAGTTTCTGGATTTGGGGTCTTTTTGACAACTTTTACCATCATGTTCCTCTTCACCACACTTGAAGCATGCTTCAGAGGCTTTACAATTGGATTGTCCATGTCCAAACCGCTGACATTTGAAACAACGCAGCGGATTTGGAACGAACATCTCGATTTTAGAAAAGGAGGTCACGTGGTTACTGGCCATGGCGGTCGTGTTTTTCTAGTGGAGATCTTTAGACCAATTTTTGAGCTTATTTGCAATTTACTGGTCCCGGAAACTTGCCCGGTTTCTTATTTTCAACACTGTTGAAGGTTGGATTTGTAAACGAAGGAAATATTTGTGTTGTCTTTAGAAATTCATTATTTCCTTTGTCTCCTTTTTGTGATACAATGGTGCGAACACGTAAGGAATCCAGGGGGATCCGCACCCATGAGTACGATTCACCAAAACAATCACGGGCACCCGACATAATGGAAAGCCAGCCGTTTCCCTCTAGTGGATTTGGACATTTAAATCCGTTTCAAGCGACGGCAACCTTTGCCCCTGGCATGGAACCGTTAACTATAACAGAGCCTTACAAAACTTTGGCCAAATTATCCCAAGATGTTGGAGACATAAAGGCAGATTTGTGGGAGAAGGATGGCTTGGATGACAAAATTCAATGTGTCGCCTGGACTCAGGAAGAAACTATTTCAGATGTGGAGCTTTTAAAAACTGAAAATGAAAAGCTTAGAAAAGACATAGAAATGCTGAAGTCAGTAGTTATTAAACTAGACAGAAAAGTTCAACAACAAGAAGCAGAAATAACGGATCTAAAAGGGAGATCAATGAAACTTAACATTCTTGTACACAATCTAGAGGAAGAAAGCGGGGAGGTCTTGAGAACAAAAATTCCCCACCTCATAATTGAGCATTTGGGAGTGGAGGGTGTTGAGTTTTCTAACATTCATAGAAATGGTGATTCAAAATCCGGAAAGCCACGCACTATTACTGGAAGGCTTATAAAAATCGAGTATAAAGATGAGATACTGAAACAACAAAAGGTCAAGAAGGACGCTGGAGAGGAACTACCCTTTTACATTACACCCCAATCACCCCCTCAGGTTAATGAAACCCGTAAAAAACTTATAGAACTGAATAACAAGTACTGGCAGGACAACGTCAAAACTCGAGTTATGGGTGACAAACTTGTTTTCCCAAATGGAACAGTTTATAAGGACAAAGTTTCAACTCCAAACGCAGAGGAACTTCTGCAGATGGACAGTAAGGAGCTTGAGAAAATTGAGGGAATTACGACCAAAAGATCTGACACTCACTCTGATGGGGGAAACCAATTCAGTGCTGCTGCGGTTGATGTAAACGCGTATGCAAAGGTGAGAAACTTCTACAAAAAAATTTCGATTGATCCGGTATATGGGCGTGCTAACCATAATATTTTGATTTATCGCTTCAAAGACAATAACGGGGTCCTCCACGAAGGATATTGTGATGACGGTGAGTTCGGAGCGGGGCGCAAGATGCTGGGAGTATTGAAAGATCAGAACCGTATCGATGTGGCGATTGTGATATCAAGGATGATGGGTAGACATCTCGGCCCAAAACGTTTCCAAATTATGGAAAACACCATGATGGAAGCTTTAAATAAACTCGTATAAATGTTCAAGTTTATCTACAGTAACTTGCAGTACTGTCAGGGTAATTTATAACACTGCACTTCATTTATTTTTTTTCAGGGTTATATCTATAATTGTCAATACTACTGTATGTATGCAGTGTGGAAAGTAATTGCTCTTTTTTTTGAACATTGGACATGCCTTGTAATTTTAGGCATGAACATAAAAATGTGGGTTTTTTTCCGGATATTTACTTAGTTAATCGTTTCCGTTTTTTTTGATTTGAGGTTTATGCAGCCAATACACATTTCCGGTAACAAACTTTCGACATAGGCTAAAAGTAAAAGGTACGTGTATGTAAATATAGAGAGACTCCATTTATTACAAAATAAGAAAGCTCTCTTTGGTCTTTAGATATTTCACTGGGGATCTTTTTTGCCATGTCCTTTTTTCTCTTTGTATATACATCCATTTTATTTTTGACGCAAAACCATTTGCCTCTTTTGTCATTATTTACAGGTGTGTGCGAAAGTATGATTGTGTATGAAAGTGCTGATTATATCGGATTTTCTGCTTGGAGGTTGCTTAATACTTTAAATACAGTTTACAAATGAATGACTCCATAAAAATTGCAACGGTAAACTGTCAAGGACTAGCAACACCTCAAAAGCGACGTGATGTCCCGAATTACTATAAGAAAAAGAGTCTTTCTATTCTGTGTTTGCAAGACACACATTTTACTGATGATTTAGAACCTTATGTAGAAGCTCAATGGGGATATAAATGTATTTTTAGTTCTTTTAAGTCCAATTCACGTGGTGTTAGTGTCCTTTTTAATAATAACTTTGAATTTAAAATTCACAAAGAGAAAAAAGATTGTGAGGGAAATCTAATAGCTCTAGATATTACAGTAGAGGATAACCGATTAACTCTTATTAATGTGTATGGTCCAAATGTTGATTGTCCAGACTTTTATGAAAAAGTTCGTGAAACCTTTTAAAATTTGATAATGAATATTTCATATTATGTGGTGATCTAAATCTTGCTTTAAACCCTGCTATCGATACATATAACTATACTCATGTTAACAACCCAAAAGCTAGAGAGAAACTGATAGAAGTTATGGAGGATTTACATATCATTGACTACTACAGGATCTTGAACCCAGACAAAAAAGTTTACACATGGAGAAGAAAAAACCCATGTAGGCAAGGTCGGCTTGATTATATTCTGATATCTGAAGGCCTATCCAACTTGGTAGAAAATTTCACAATACAACCTGGTTATAGGTCAGATCATTCTATTGTAGTTCTAGAACTAAAGTTCAATTCGTTTGAGAGAGGTTGTGGCTTGTGGAAATTTAATAACAGTTTATTACATGACATAACGTATGTTGAAAAAGTTAAACAAGAAATTAAAAAAGTAAAATTGAAATATCTACAAAACATTACATCTGTTGATGATGACTGTAACTGTATTTATAATATTGATGACAGTTTATTTCTAGAAGTTCTTCTAATGGAAATACGTGGAATAACTATTTCATATTCCTCATATAAGAAAAAGAAGAGAGATGAACTTGAAAAATCACTAATACAAGAAATACAAAATATGGAATTACAAAATAAAATCAATACATTAATTTTTGAAGAAAAAAGATTATCTCTTGAAAATTTAAGAAAAGAAAAAATGCATGGTCATTTAATAAGATCACGTGCTAGATGGGTTGAAGAAGGTGAAAAGCCTACAAAATATTTTTGCAACTTAGAATCTCGTAACTACATAAACAAAGTAATAAAAAGGGTTGATATTGATGAAAATAAAACTATTTACGATCAGTTTGAAATTTTAAACCAAGTTAAAATCTTTTATAAAAAATTATATGCAAACAGAGACTCAGAACTTATTGATTTGAATCTTGGTGATTTTATTGATCCTTCTGAAAGTAAAAAACTTGATGAAAAAACATCTGGCTACTTAGAAAATGAAATTGTTGAAAGTGAAGTTTTAGATGTTCTGAAAAATATGAAAAACAATAAATCACCTGGAAGTGATGGTTTCACTACTGAATTTTTTAAATTCTTTTGGAAAGATTTAAAATGTTATATTCTAAGAGCAATAAATTGTATTTTCTGTAAGAAAGAATTGCCAATTACACAAAGGCTTGGCATTATTTCTTGTATACCAAAGGGTGACAAACCAAGACAATATTTAAAGAACTGGCGACCAATAACTTGATTGAATGTGTTGTACAAACTTGTATCTGGGTGCCTTAGTTATAGAATAAAGACTACCTTAGACATCCTTATTTCAAATACACAATCTGGTTTTATTAAAGGTAGATATATAGGTGAAAATACAAGATTTATTTACGATCTTATGTCATATACAGAGTCAAAAAATATACCAGGTCTCTTAGTTCTTATTGATTTTGAGAAAGCTTTTGACTCAGTATCATGGTCTTTTATTTACAAAGTACTGAATTATTTTGGTTTTGGGAACAAATTTATTGATTGGATCAAAATTTTAAATACAAATTTTAAAGCATCTGTTCTACAATGTGGACATTTATCTGAACAAATCCATATTCAGAGAGGCTGTAGACAGGGAGATCCCGTTGCTCCTTATTTATTTCTCCTCTGTGCTGAAATCCTTGCTATTCTTGTGAAACAAAATAAAGACATAAAGGGCATTATTATTCAGGAGAAAGAACACAAAATTTCCCAATATGCTGATGACACTTCACTTGCCCTTGATGGTTCACCAAAATCACTTTTTGCTGCTCTTGATACCTTGGATTTTTTTTCACGGTTATCTGGATTAAAAATAAATAGTAATAAAACAAAAATTATTTGGATTGGCTCAAAAAAATTTTCAAATCAAGTTTTTCACCATCCAAGATGGAAGTTAGATTGGGGGTCAACAACTTTCTCATTGCTGGGTATTAATTTTTCTGTAGACTTAGAAACTATTACTGACACAAATTATGATATTATTCTACCCAAAATAAAATCTTTGATTCAACAGTGGAATCGACGAATACTAACACCTATTGGTCGAGTCACTGTTGTAAAAACTTTAATTTTACCAAAACTGAATCATCTATTTATTTCTCTTCCTACACCTAGCAGCGACAAGATTTCCTCATTAAATAAAGATATCTTTGAATTTGTATGGAAATCAAAATGTGATAAGGTTAAAAGAAATATAGTTACTCAAGATAATCTATTTTGAGGTTTAAAAATGGTAAATATTTTTAACTTCATAAAATCTTTAAAATGCACTTGGGTCCAAAGACTGTTGAATACAGGAAATAAACCATGGTTAGATATATTTTTGGCGGTTAATGGAAATGATGTTATAAAACAATTATTAGACTTTGGAGATGAGTATATCTCTAATATTCTAATGACAAAGAACAATCCTTTTTGGTTTGATGTCTTTAGTTCTTGGCAAAATGTAATGAAAAAGATGGAATATGACAGGGATATGAAATACAAAGCTTGTAGTATTCCAATATGGTACAACTCAAACATAAAGATTGATAATAAGAGTATTTTTATAGAAAATTGGTATCTTAAAGGTGTTAAAATTGTTGGAGACTTCCTGTCTGATGATTGTTCTTTTCTTTCAAAGTCTGCTTTTCAACAAAAATTTAGTATTCCTACTTTAAATGTAATGCAGTTCAATAGTGTCATTTGTGCTATTGCAAAATGCTTTAAAATTCTGGCAATTGAGAGAACATCAATGAAGAAAAGTTGCTTGCCTTATTTACCATTTTATTATGAAAATACTTTGTTAAATAATAAATGTACAAAAATTATTTATAATGTCATAAACAAAAATTGTATGCAGCCTACAGCAATTTCAAAGTGGAATGTAGAGTTGACTCCCCATGGAGTGAATGATATATGCACACAAGATGTTTTTCGAGTATGTTTCAAGACCACAAATGATTCTTCTGTACAGTGATTTCAATACCGACTTCTTCATAGAATTCTTCCTGTTGGATATTATCTTAAAAAAGTTAACATCAAAACATCTGAATCATGCAACTTTTGTAAGGAGGATACTGAAACTATTCAACATGTATTTGTAACTTGTAATGACATAGTGGATTTATGGAGAAATTTGAGTATGCATATTTGTAGAACAACTTCTAAAAGAATTGGTTTTAATATTAAAAATATTATTTTGGGTGAAATACCACTCACTAAAGATAACATGATTATAAACTTTATCATATTATACACTAAGCAGTATATTTTTTCTTGCTCATCACAATGTAAAAAACCAAACTTTTTTGGTCTTATAAATCATTTGAAAATGAAATATAACATTGAGAGAAGTGTATCAATCTATAACTCTAAATTATCATTGTTTGAAAAAAAATGGGACTTATGGAAGAAAATGTTTGAACCTATTTGAAATGTGTTTCTTTGTAACCAATCTATGGAGTATTATTGAATGTTTTATATTTGTTTTTTCAATAATTGTTTGTATTTTTTTTAATGGATGAACAACAGATATAATGATTTCTGTCCCCTTAAAGCAGCCTTCATATTTCTTCAGCATATTTCTAGCTTAATCCGATAAGTGTGAGTGACTGTATGAATGTGTGTGTGTGTGGTGCAAAAAATCCTTTGTATACTGTTTTTGTAGACATTTATATGCATATATGTATGTATACAATGGACAAAAAAAAAAAAAAAAAAAAAAAAAAAAAAAATCTCGATTTTCATTTGGTAGAGCCCAACCTTTATATTTGTAGGAAGTGTTGGCATGCCAAAAGTCAAAAGGTATGTATTTGTTGGTTCGATAATATCATTCCGTTTTTTGGTAAATCGTTTAACAGAGATCACTCCCTGGGCTTCTAATTCAGATTGAATCTCCTGTTCAGGAATGTCATCCAGGTTGTGATCTCTGTCGAACAGTATGCCTTTGCTTTGGTTTAATCCACTGTGGATTTTACCAATAACAGGAATATCGGCAAGCATTTTTAAACCTAACAAGGAAGTTGATTGTTGTTTTTTGGTAACTTC